ATGAAGTTTGCATTGAAACGATTTCAACTTATCAATGCCTTGGAAGCAATCCGCATGCGACACGAACAGATTAGAGGAGGCAGCGGTGTGATCGGTATGCAAGTTGTATGCAATGTTTCCAAGTCCAAGGGCTGATGCGGTGTCAAAGTTCAGGAGTGTGTCAGCTGTACAGGATGTAACGAACAATGGGCTCATTGGGCCAAAAAAATAGTCGGTCTGTGGTCAGACCGAAGTTCCGGAATTGATGCGGCGACGCGTTTTTTTTTTTTTTTTGGTGGCTTTTTTTTTCTTCAAGCTTCTTTCTTCAAGGCGGGTACTATTTTGCTTTTTCTGTCCTCATTATACATTGGTGTCCTCCATAATTTGCCTTGGTGCCCTTTATCATTTGCCTTGGTGCAATTTCCCCATTCCTTGGTGCTCCTTGGTACAAACATTTGAGGAGGCGCGGCAATAGAGGGCGCTGTTGTAGTGTCCGTGTTAATTTGAAGAAAACAAAGGTTGACGCGCATGACGCGCGCGCTGACCAGAGAGCGAGTAGTTTTTACTTTTTTGGCCTTACAGATATAGGTCTAGGTCCACGCCCACTGAAAATACGCGGAAATGCGCTGACAATAGACGTAGCCGTAGCTCTGGAAACCCATTTCGGACACGGCCTGAGGCGCCCGCCGGACATCACATTGGCAGCCATGTTTATTGCATGTCCTTATGGGATACTTACCCAAGTAACCGGCTCGGCGAGTCGGTTACTTGGGCGAGGCTCGAGTAAGCGCGAGAAGTCTCGTGAGAGGCAAATCGAACGCTGTCGCGTTTGCACGAGTAAGCGCGGGGAAGTAATCGAACGCAATCAAAATGTTCGTCCACAAAGTCCTCAGCTGATAAATAGAAAGGCAGTGGCAAGGGCCGAGTACATCACAAAACCTTTCATAGAAGTGAGACTGCAGGACTTGGACAATGAACTAGTAATGACTACAACACTGTAGAATGGAAAGCCGATGATGTTTATAGATGCACATTGGTCACTTCAAAAAAGGGCTTGTTTTGTTTCCACTTAATATGGAATATATACAACAACAAAAAATGTAGAGAAAGGCCGTCCTAAGAGTATCCAAATTATGTTCTAAGATACGGAATCGGCTAAATTAGTAGCACTAATATTTATTCTGAAAATTCATCTTAATCACTCCAAGACTTTACACAAGCAAAAGCAAATCAATCGTAACCACTGAAAATAATCAAAACAAGATTAAATGTATGCAAGTAAATATATATATATATATATATATATATATATATATATATATATATATATATATATATATATATATGCAATAAATTCAGAATATTCTCTTTCTGAACAGACTGTTTCGTACCATAAGGCACTCATCAGCAGAATGACGAAAAATAGAATACAAGTAGCATCTTACCTTATTTCGAATCAAGCGCGCGCACGCGTTACGCGCGTTACGTCATTGAAGTTAGTACGCGTTTACGTCACTGAAGTAAGAACACATCTGTCTCGATGCCTGCACTTGGAGACGATTTCGCTTCTCTTATTCAGTGTACCTAGATCTGGCCTACATATGATTATGTACTTCTCTGCTATACACAAATTGCATCTCTTGTTTACGTTAGAGTATGGCAGTGCTTTCAGAACAATGTCCCATTTGATTTCATAGTCTTTCCCTTCGTCCTTTAAGTCCCATATATGTTTACTTAGCTCTGTTTGCGCCCTCTTGCTCTCGGATCTGAATGACTGCTTGTGGTTCGCCAGTCTCGCCTTGAAGGTTGTGGACGTCAGCCCGACGTATGCCTCCTTCCTGCCTTCGCTCGTGACGGTGGCCTGGTACACTATGTTCTTGCTGAGGCACTCCCCGTTCAGCGGGCATTCGGCATTGCGGGGACAACTGCATGTTCTACCACCGACGTCGTCCTCCTGTTTTACCTTCCGTTTGTTGATTGACTGGATCGTTGCCTTCATGTTCGGCATGCAGCTGTACGATAACTTTACTGTGTTCCGGTTGAGCACTTTGTGAAGCTTATGTTCCTTGGGGAAGCATTTGTCTATTATCTGAAGGAATTTCTTTCCAATGTTGGTACGTACGTTCTTGTTGTATGGCGGGTTGTACCATGTCACCTCCCTTTTTCTAGTCCTTTTCCTGGTGTTATTGCCCGGTGTGTACGTCAGTCGATACTTGTGCCCGCTTTTTTGAAGAGCCTCCTGGTAGGCCGGGGCAGCTTTCTCGAATGCCTCCTTGCTCGACGAGATGTTGGAGAGTCGCTTGTTGATTCCCTCTGGTATCTGTTTGATGACGGCGGGTGGATGGTTTGACTGGACATGTACATAGAGAGGTACATTACCTGGTTTCATGTATGGCTTGTACCCTCCCGTTCGCAGGTCTAATGTGATGTCAAGGAAGTTTACTGTTGCCTTGTTGGCTTCGATCGTTACCTTTAAGTCATTTTCCCGGAATACTTGGCATATTTCCTTCTTGATGTTTTCTATTTTCTTGGGGGTCTCCTTGAATACTGCCAGACCGTCGTCCCTGTATAGTCCCACTCTATTTCCGTACTTTGGTTTCAAGATCGACAGCAGATATGCTACGACCAGCTCGCATGACTCCGCGCCGTCGAAACTTCCCATCGTGACATCGAATTTGCTGTCTGCATTACGCTTTTTCCACGGTACCTGGTCGTTGAATACCACTGTCTGCTTTGCGTGGATGATGATATCTTTCTCCTTGCTGCTAATGTTCTCGTAGTTTTCCGCGAACCCTAGGGCCTTCAGGAGAAGCTTTTCCGTTATCGAGGGGTAGAACTCCACAATGTCGAAATTTATGAAGCTCGATTCTTGCTTGTTTGGGATTTTCTTATACCAGTCCAGTACGGCGTCCGTGCTTTTCCACAGGTTGAATCCTGTCGCGCTTATGACTTTACCGACGATTCTGTCGAGGATCACTTTACTTATATGTCCTATCTCTGATTTGGTTGGGCTGATTAGTCGACATGATGGTTTGTTATCGAAGTTGTCCTTGTGGTCCTTCAAAGTAATGAAGACTTCCCTCTCGGCCAATTTATCTATGCGGTCGCCCAGTCCAAGACTTTTAGCAATTCTTTTCGCTTCGCGATTGATTTCCGCTACTTCCTTTTGCTCGGTTTTCTTGTATGTTTTGGTGACATTCGCCCTGACAAGATTTACATAGTCATCTTTTTTCATCTTGTAATAATTTGTAGTCTTATCAGCCTTGACGGTAAGCTTATCATCATTCCTAATCGTATTTATGTCATAAGCGCGACAGGATTCAACCTGTGGAAAAGCACGGACGCCGTACTGGACTGGTATAAGAAAATCCCAAACAAGCAAGAATCGAGCTTCATAAATTTCGACATTGTGGAGTTCTACCCCTCGATAACGGAAAAGCTTCTCCTGAAGGCCCTAGGGTTCGCGGAAAACTACGAGAACATTAGCAGCAAGGAGAAAGATATCATCATCCACGCAAAGCAGACAGTGGTATTCAACGACCAGGTACCGTGGAAAAAGCGTAATGCAGACAGCAAATTCGATGTCACGATGGGAAGTTTCGACGGCGCGGAGTCATGCGAGCTGGTCGTAGCATATCTGCTGTCGATCTTGAAACCAAAGTACGGAAATAGAGTGGGACTATACAGGGACGACGGTCTGGCAGTATTCAAGGAGACCCCCAAGAAAATAGAAAACATCAAGAAGGAAATATGCCAAGTATTCCGGGAAAATGACTTAAAGGTAACGATCGAAGCCAACAAGGCAACAGTAAACTTCCTTGACATCACATTAGACCTGCGAACGGGAGGGTACAAGCCATACATGAAACCAGGTAATGTACCTCTCTATGTACATGTCCAGTCAAACCATCCACCCGCCGTCATCAAACAGATACCAGAGGGAATCAACAAGCGACTCTCCAACATCTCGTCGAGCAAGGAGGCATTCGAGAAAGCTGCCCCGGCCTACCAGGAGGCTCTTCAAAAAAGCGGGCACAAGTATCGACTGACGTACACACCGGGCAATAACACCAGGAAAAGGACTAGAAAAAGGGAGGTGACATGGTACAACCCGCCATACAACAAGAACGTACGTACCAACATTGGAAAGAAATTCCTTCAGATAATAGACAAATGCTTCCCCAAGGAACATAAGCTTCACAAAGTGCTCAACCGGAACACAGTAAAGTTATCGTACAGCTGCATGCCGAACATGAAGGCAACGATCCAGTCAATCAACAAACGGAAGGTAAAACAGGAGGACGACGTCGGTGGTAGAACATGCAGTTGTCCCCGCAATGCCGAATGCCCGCTGAACGGGGAGTGCCTCAGCAAGAACATAGTGTACCAGGCCACCGTCACGAGCGAAGGCAGGAAGGAGGCATACGTCGGGCTGACGTCCACAACCTTCAAGGCGAGACTGGCGAACCACAAGCAGTCATTCAGATCCGAGAGCAAGAGGGCGCAAACAGAGCTAAGTAAACATATATGGGACTTAAAGGACGAAGGGAAAGACTATGAAATCAAATGGGACATTGTTCTGAAAGCACTGCCATACTCTAACGTAAACAAGAGATGCAATTTGTGTATAGCAGAGAAGTACATAATCATATGTAGGCCAGATCTAGGTACACTGAATAAGAGAAGCGAAATCGTCTCCAAGTGCAGGCATCGAGACAGATGTGTTCTTACTTCAGTGACGTAAACGCGTACTAACTTCAATGACGTAACGCGCGTAACGCGTGCGCGCGCTTGATTCGAAATAAGGTAAGATGCTACTTGTATTCTATTTTTCGTCATTCTGCTGATGAGTGCCTTATGGTACGAAACAGTCTGTTCAGAAAGAGAATATTCTGAATTTATTGCATGTTTATAGCTCTACAGAGATGTATCGAGCACTGTGAATTGTGATAGAAGACGATTTCATTGGATATATATATATATATATATATATATATATATATATATATATATAAACCCAATAAAAATGCAATCGAAACAATAAAATAAAATGTGCATACCCTCAAAACAAACATCAAACAAAATACAAAGCGCAGGGATATGCCTCAGAATAACTAGCGCCATTTCACAATCTGCTTTCTTGTGATGGAGGTTTGGTAAGACTACTTGATGATATCTGGAGAAAAGGTAAATGTGCAAATAGATTGGAAAGGTTTATAATCGACTTAAACAACACAAATTGGAATAACGCTAAAATATTTAAGCATTAAAAACCTAAATAAATGCCAACAAGCACTATTTATGTTCAAGTATAGAAACAATTTACTGCCCATTTCCTATTTAAATATGTTTGTACTTAACTGTAATTTCTATAACTATAACACTCGTGTGTCTATAATAACTTACATTTCCACATACTGCAACATAGAACATCTGTATTTCAATACAACATAACATTAAGTACTCCGGACCTACATTATGGGATAATCTTCCATTCTCTCTTAGATGTTCAAGGTCAAATAATATTTTTATCGCAAATTTAAATTGTACCTTATGTAACGTAATATATTTTATATGTAATATGTTTATGCCCATGGACTTTTTATGCACGGCGATCCTACTCGTAGCAAAACTTTGTTTACTGCTTTTAGAAGTATACAATGTCATGTGTGTAATTGTTTTTCTGTCGCCTGTTTTTGTGTAATGGCATGCCTGATACAAACTATGCTTTCAAGGTTCATTACTTATTTTATTTTCATTTCTGTCATGGAGAGGAAATAAATGTGCTTTGAATTGAATTGAATTTCAACTAGTAAACATTCAACCTTACCTAGTGACTTTGAGGAATTTAATTAAGGCTCACGTTAGTTATTCTACGAGAAGAGAGGCTGGTTTTTTTTTTTACCTTTTTAGTCATTTTTTTCCAAGTCAAGTCAAGTCCCAATTCCAATTTCTGCAAGTCAAGAGTCAAGTCATATTTCTTTCAAGTCAAGTCAAGTCTTAAGTCATTTTTCCGAAGTCATTTTTACCTTTTTAGTTGCGTCGTGGACGTCTATGTAGGTTTATTAACCAGTGTTGTAACCAAGTCATTTTTTTCTAAGTCAAGTCAAGTCCCAATTCCAATTTCAGCAAATCAAGTCTCAAGTCATATTTTTTTTCAAGTCAATTCAAGTCTTAAGTCATTTTTCCGAAGTCAAGTCAAGCCGAGTCAAAAAAATAGCAACTCGAGTCCGACTCGAGTCCGAGTCAGCAACTTGAGTCAATTAACAACACTGTCATTAACTTGTTCGAAGAAGTGATACCACAATATCTCCAAATAGTGAGCCTCTTCCGGGTTTGGAGATTTGCTCACATAGGTTAGAGCCTTCTGATAGAATTCTACTGGATGTCTTAGGATCATTTGCTTGGTAGCCCCAAAACAGCCGTTCCCGCACTCCCGCAATCCTTTGGGATGTTGCTTATCGTACAGATCTTGGTACATCTGCCCTAAAGTCCCTTTTGCTCTGTCTAATTTGTGCGTCTTAAAATGAGCTAAATAACGAGGAGAGAATGCGAGATTCCCCCAGGTTGAGCGATTATATCCCTTTAAAATGCAAGGGACACCTTTTTTGGCAGAATCGATAAACCGTGTTATATCTTTGTGGCATTTTCCTCGCATATTATCTCCCTGAGCAAAGACAGTGACGTTAGCGAGTTGGTCGTAGTAGGTGGTAATGTGAACAAGATAAGCGTGAGCTTCGAGCCCAACATTTTCCAGCCGCTCCCAACCGTAGAACTGGAATGGTGGACCCAGGTCGTTCCCTTGATGGTAGATGAGGGTGTGGTTGGCGTGAGGCTTCATCCAATTAAGATTTTCGTTATAGTGTGCGATGACGAATTCGTAATCCAAAGGTATGGTGCGATCCCTGTTTTTCTTGGAGTTGGCCCGATTCGGATCCGGGTAAGTTAACTCCGGAACGTTGCTAAGGAACTTGTCCACGGCCTCGACCCCTTGCATGAAGGAATGATCTTGATTGGCAACCTCGTATTTCCAACCTCCGAACCGTCCACGGGAGTAGATGTCTTTGGTTTTCAGCCAAGGTTGTATCGTGTCAAGGATCGAATCCCTTTTAAGTGAAGGGACGGGGTATCCGTGGTCCAAGCGACGGTAGTGCTTGGAGACTACCATATCAGCAGTGATAAACCCGTACAAGACTAAGGCTTGAATGGATTCTTTTATCAGGTTTTCCTTACTCCAATACGCTGGATTAGAACTTTTCTGTGGTTCGGCTATTTCGCACATAAGCGACCAGTATGCTCCAGGTTTTGGTACATGGTCATCTGAATAATTGGAGAACATTGTCACGCGGTAGAAAGGAGAATCAGAATCCGGGAAATACACCCAAGATTTATCAGCGAGGATCCTTGGCAGCTGACCGGTGAGGCCGATGCCTACGATGTGAGTGTGCGTGTACACTAGCTGTGTCGCTAGCTCTTGCATCTTCCCTAGAGAAACATAGTGGCTTTGCAATAATGATGTAAAGGTATCTAAGGGCGCCGTCGATATAAGGGTATCGTATGCTAATGAGTAATGTGATGTCTTCACGCCAGTTCCAGCCTCGACAGTAATGATTTTTTGGTCAATATCAATTGCAGTTACCTTTTCGTGAAATCTGAACCAGTGGCTAGGAAGCATTCTCGCAACTGACTCCCAAATTCCGCCAGTCCCATTATATTTTGGGAAACGAAAGAAACGGTTCGGTCCCCATTCGGAATCCTTGGCGTTTTTTCCGTGATCCACCTCTGCAATCTTGGTCTTAATCTCTTTAATGTCTGGTACGGCAACCCTCTCTCCAACCCAGGCCGAGTTCATTTCTTTGGTGTCAACTGTCCAGATTTTTCGGTTGTATTTCCTCATAAAGACGTCAGCGAGACCCTCTCCAAATTTCTGCAGCAGCCACTCGTCGAAATTTTCGGGTTTACGGCTGCTGTGATTTTTGGTAATCTCCTCTAAGCCTTTCAGGCTTTTCTGCTGATCAATTTTATCCATGACGTGAATGTTGTTCTGAACTGGATAAGGAATGAACCTCCTCGTGTCATCTGATCCTTTCATGAAGGCAAATGACGCCCTGCGCCGGTAGTTCCACTCGGGTACTGCCATGTTCAGGACTCGATCAAAGTAGCTGTAATGGGAGAATACGACATGAACTCCGACATCCCAGAGAAAGCCTTTATCATCCCTGACAGACGAGGCTAGGCCTCCTGGTTTGCCTAGTTCTTCCAGGATAGTGATCACGCTGTTGTTTTTTCCTTGCCCGAGATCGTAGAGTCTTTTAGCGGCACCCAGAGCTGTAGGTCCGGAACCGATGATGACGATTCGATGAGGACGAGAAGACTGTTTCCCATATTCCCGGTTGGCGTTCATGAAATCTGGTGCATATGGTGGAAGGCTTCTGGCCATCACTGAAAAGAGCAAAAGAATGACAAATTATTCATTAATTATTGATAAGGACACTGATACAAAAGGCAACCTAGTTGACCAAATTGTGTACTTTTTGATAAAGGCATGAAACCTTGCATAGTCTTCATCCCATGAAAAGCATTTTTAGATGTGGGGACATCTCATAGATAATCTGACCTTTGGTGACCTTTAAGAGGTCAACGACCTTTTCATACACTCTTACTAGCCATTTATCAGATTTACTCTTTGAAATGCCTCTTCTTTATTACCAAAGTCTAAATGTAAGGTCTCCATGCCTTGAAAAAATATGAGATGTGTTGAAATTTTATAATCTGACTTTTGTTAGCCTTTAAGAGGTCACATCACCTTTATAAACTAGGTCTATAACCTTTATATCCATTGTATAGCCTAGTATTAGCTATTCATTAGATTTAATATTTAAAACATGACATTTTCATAACCTAGGTCTAAGCGTTCGGTTTTGATGCCATGAAAAATATGTAAATGTAGGGACATTTCATATCTGACCTACATTGACCTCTGATAAGGTCAGGGACCTTTGTATATTCCATTGCTGTTTATCAAATTCTCTTTAAAATACCATTCTTATGACATAAATCTCAATGCAAACATGTATTTTAACTGTTATTCTACAGTAATGACAAGGTTTTGTGATTTCTAACCTCCATGTCCTAACACTATTACACAAATAATCCTTTGATGAATATTTTTGTCTTTTGAACACACCAAATGTTGATAGTTTTGTTTAAAACCGCGCTATATAGAAACTTGGACTTCACAAGAACTATTAATCAGCAAATATAGTGTTTGTCAATGTATCAATCAATCAATCAATCAATATGCCTCTTGCAATGCACCACTACTTGTGCGGCGCGTAGAGCAGTGAGAAGCCCAGTCTCCGCCAGGAAGGAGTCGAGCGGCTGCAGATCGCGATCAAGAACATCCAACCACTGAGTGCGGGGGTTCCGCGAAGTCGCCTCCAACCGGCAGGTATATAGGGTAAAAATCCAGGATTGCGCGGGTGGGATGTTGCAGTGGCAAGCGGAGGACATGGCCAAGCCAGCGGACTCGTCGAAGCTTTGCAGCGATGCTAGAGAACGCTGGTTATGATGGGCCCGCTCTCGAACTACCGTGTTGGGATATGTTCATACCGCCGGATAATCTCAATTGTCCTCAGTGCTCTGCTGTCAAAGCCGTGCCGTCGATCCTACTGGCTAGGGTCTTGGTAAGGGGCCACGACTCTGCACCAAGCAGTAGAAGGTAGCACTGCGGCATTAGATGAAGCTGTGTCGCCATAGATGCCTCCAGAGGGCCTGCATCACTCCAGGCGCCATGCTGCGTCTCCTATCGACCTCCATCTTCTAATTGTAAGGGTTTGTAATGGTCGAGCCCAGATAGCAAAGGAGTCAACAAATTCAACCCGTTCCTCATCGATCAACAGTGGAGGTAGATCGAGTCCGTCACCTACATGTATATGCATGAGCTTGGTTTCGCCCAGCTAACCATTATGCCTAGCTTGCTCGCCTCTTCTTGGTCTCACCATTGACACGGACACAGCTCCCGCCAGTGCAGTACAGCCTCTGGAGAAGAGGACGAGGAACCATGGTCCACTATATATCAAAGGCGGCTTTGAGATCGATGAAAGCAAAAACACAGGTGGCGGTCCTTACGGAACTCGCGGGCCTTCTCAATGATGAGACGGAGGGCGGAGAAGTGGTCAGCAGTGGAGCGGCCAGGCATGAACCTGCCTGCAGAAGATGCCGTTTGCTTCCGATTGCTGGGAGGTTTCTAGTTAGTAGAATACAGGTGGATACTTTGCACGGTATGGACAAGAGTGTGATGCCCCTATGGCTACTACAGACAAGCTGGTCATCTTTATGCTTCAAGAAGGTGAGGATTATTCCACTTGTCCAGTCTACAGGAACCCTTACTTGGTTGATGATCCGTATGAGCCACTGGATGAGACAGTCCCAATCAGCCTTCAGCATCTCTACAGTGATATAGCAGATTCCAGGGGCCTTATACCGTTCTTCAGAAGTTTCAAAGCAGCATTGACCTTTTATGCGGTAACAGGGGTGGTGCTTGCAGATTTCTTATTTGCAGTGCTGCCAGTTGGTGAAGTTTTTTTTCCGTCAAGACACTGAATTAGTTAGACATAACACTAGAGAACGCAGACTTGATTTCAGGGTCAAGGAAGCGACATGAGTCTAAGCGGGGCTGATGCTTGGCATATAAGTCAGTCTTCAGTTTCAGGGTAAGCTGAGCAGCTAGCAGGCGGTGATCTGTGTTGCCGAGCTGTGCACCCCTGTAGACATGACAGTTTGTAATAATCAAGAGATCTCCAAAGACGGGAGATAATGATAATCAATAGCCTTCCGTGTCCTACCATCAGGGCTATACCATGTCCAGTGGCGAATTTGCTTTCGGGAAAACCAGGTTTCGGCAATGCAGAAGTTGTTGGATCTACAACAGAGCAGTAGAAGGTGGCCATTGTCATTGATGGTTGAGTCAATGAAGGCTGTGCTAGTAACAGTGGTGGCCATGGAAGGGTCACGGGAGGCGGTAGAGGTGGTGGTATTAGCATCTTTGAGAATTACCGTGATGTCATGTGGTTGCGCTTGTTGGGCAAGAGCATGGAGTTGGTCAAAGAAGGCGTCTTTGATGATTTCATCTGCGACATGGGATGGTGCATGGGCTACTTTTACTGTCAGCTTGCCGTGACGGTGAAGAAAGCGGGCATTGAGCAGCCTATCCCGGTCATTATTTGGATTCCAGCTGATAAGCGACTTCAACGAATGGTCTTGGGTATGGCCAGGGCAACACAGTGTAAGCCTCGCCTATCATTTTGGCCACTCCAGATAAAGAAGTGATCGCCCGCAGTGGTTGCGCCATTGCCTGGCCAGCTTGACTCACAGTGACCAGCCATACTAATATTAAAGAATGCCAACTCCCGTGACAGGAGAGTATAGCCGAGCCAGGACGAAGATGAGATTGTAAGTTACACGTAGCAATGCGGAAACCCTTTCACAGATTCGTTGAATACTTGTTTTTATATGAAGTCCGTTTCTCGTGGTCAAAGACGTTCGTGTCAATTCTTTTTTTTATTTCAATATGCAACATAAAAACATACAAACACAACAGATTGACTATAAAACTAAAAAAATAATCAGTACAACAGCAAAAGCCATTTTCTGGAATACTCAAAAACAGACGACAGACAGACAAGACAACACAAAAACAAAGGACTAGACAATAGACAATACCACTTAAGTTACCTAAACATTACAAAAGCAGATAATATTTGAAAAAGGGTCGTATTGAAAAAATGGCCCATTTATTATGTAGTTTATCAAGTGACCCGTTTCTTGTAGCAATGGCTTTCTCTGTTTGAAAATACAAAAAAAACCTAAGTTTTTAAAGGCAGTTATCGACAAGAGAAGCAAATTCTGACACTTATTATTAAAAATAAACTTTTTCGCTACAACAATAATAAAAGAGATAAGACAATCCCTTTCCGGCAATAAACCATAAAAAATATCTCTACTACTTAAAGTCACTGGAGAATGAGAGGTAGAATTAAGCCAAGTAATAATATCCCTCCAGAACAGCTGGATTTTTTTCACAATCCCAAAAGAGATGTAGCAAATTCTCACGCTCTTCATTACAAAAGAAACACATGTCACAGTCCTTCTTTTTAATAAAAAAAAAAACAATATTTGTTCGGATGAGAAAATGAATAAATTTATATTGAAAATACTGCAGCTTGGAATCTTTGGTAATACTATAAGGAATTTGATGTACCTCATTCCACTTTGGAGAGGATCCAAGTAAAGTGGTCCACTTCTGCTGGCACTTAATAGGCTCTTGAGCTACAGCTTGGACAACAGAGTTGTAAACACACTTGGAAGGCTTTTTCTGATATCTCCTTTGAATCGGATTTTTTTACTGTTAAAATGTGTTTTAAGACGCTTAAAGGCACCCCCAAAATTGGTGAAAGTTAGTTCGGGGGGGGGGGTGCACGGGGGGTCCCCCATACATACTCAACTATTATGCCAAACGCATCACGAACGAATGACAACTTACACTAACGTACACCCAAATTTCCAAAAACGTCGGGCACAGGTTAGCTCTATTTGCAACCGTGTGACAGTGCCATAAGGTGCAAGCTGTAAGCTTGAAGCCCGGTTCATACTTCACGCGAAAGCGAAATAGCGAAGCGAAATTCCTGACGTCAACAATACGTTCGAAGCGCGTCCACCATTGTTGACGACATAAATTTCGCTTCGCACTTGCTTTCGCGGGAAAATATGAACCGGGCTTTAAACCCGGTTCATACTTCACGCGAAAGCGAAACGAAGCGAAATTTGTGACGTCAACAATACATTCAAAGCGCGTCCACCATTGTCGACGACATGGATTTCGCTTCGCACTTGCTTTCGCGTGAAGTACGAATCGGGCTTAAGTCATGGAAATTATACCAAAAATAATATTCCGCTCGAAATCATCTGAATGCAATACTGTATATTATTTTGCGTGGACGCTGTATAAGGAGCCAACTTGGCAGTCACGACAACACAATGTACATGTACTAAGAGGTCAACCGCAAGTATTGCACCAACAGTAGGCCTACCGCGATCTAGCCTGTTGCCAAGGCCGTCGAGGCTTTATATTTTTTAACCGGCATTGTTACACGGAGCGGCGAATAATTCAACAACTAAAGTTAGAAAAGACCTTGTAGTGGCTTCGCCACTCGTGTGTAATGAAAAAAATCTGAGTGAATATATATGGTGCAGTACTCGCGGATCTTTTCAAAAAAATACTTCCGCAATATACTGCACGGCAACTGGCGGAAACCCACAATTCACACGGTTGCAATCGTGGTTTGCCTGCAGTGATTGGGGTCCATGGGTATTTTTTACACCCTCGGGTGTGCAAAACACCATGGACCATTTCACAACAGGCAACAATTATTGTATAATGTCCCCCAAGAATTGACTCTTTTTTATACCAATGTAACTTAAATAAATACATGTATTTTTCTACTGTGTAACACCATTTCACGTAAATTCAACAGTACATTACTGCGAGGAATAGGCGTAAAAACGCGTATCGCAAATACGTACATGCATATTTGAACATCACCGACGCCACGTCCTCTACCCCCATTTTCGAATTGTCTAGTTGTTTCCTAAATGCTGACAAGAAATTGCCGCCGTTGCGTATGTTTGTTTAAGGTATATAGTGCTGTGGAATCCTGCTCACTGGGCCTTGTCCCGTCCCGCTGGCGGAATTCACCCGCCATGGCGCGACCGTTCCATCTAGTGCTTCTCCGGTGGCTGCCTTTCCATATACGATGGTCTCTGCCCGCTATTTATGTCAAACACATTTGGAGTATTTTTTCGAGTTATTTTGCTGAGAAACAACAAAAACAGGCTGTTTGAAGGATACGATACTTTTGGCACAAATCGTCTTTTTTCAGACATAAAATTACATTTTTTTCAATACTGCCTACGATTTGCCCTCTGCTCTCATCCGTACACGGTGGTGTATTACTCGTGCAAGTTTCCCCTGTACTGCCTTACCGTGGAACGCTTAGCTCGAATCGTTATAGCTATTGTCTGTATATTGAAAAACCCACGTGTCATGGCAAAAAGGCCAGATTGCACATGACTTACCATTAATACAGGCACTCTAACTAATGTCATTTACAGGTATTTTAATAGAAATATAAATGGGCTATTGTTGACTACTCTTATAACTTATATTACACTCAAAAAGTTGGTCAAATGGGTTGGTATATGTGTAGCCCAATGATGGCAACATACCAACTGCATTTACTCGTGGGCAATTTCTTTCCAGTAGTTGGTCACGTTTTATTCAAATGAATCAACAATAATGTAACTTCACAACAATGTTGGGCAAAGAACATTGCCCATTGGTGTTTGGCCCAACATTTTCATTTACATTGTAATTCAATCGAAACGTCCACCGATTCCTTCTATTCAACTGCGTTTTTCTTTCTTTCCTGTTTTGTACATTCAATGCACTTGTATTCAGATAAAATCAACAACATATACTGCACATAACAATGCAAATCACAGAGAAACACAGGACAGTCAATTTCGTGTGATATAGCCAACAAAAAAAAGCAAATTTATTTCCACCGGGTAACAATCATAAAATAACTTTTATTGGGCGTTTGCCCTAAAACATGAACGTAATGTTTGTATTGGATAGTGAATCATTAGCAGATGCGGATCCAGGATTTTTCATCGAGGTGGAGGGGCGGGTGTATCGAGGTGTTTTTCTAGGGGGTTGAGGTGCTAAATTCAACACAGTAGACATGCGTGAAGCAATGAATAGGCCTGGTGCCTTGTTTGTAATATGACTTTGTTTTAGTAAACTTCAAAGCATATAGGATCATTTTCTTGTCATGCACTTTGTTCGTTTACAATAATACCACTCAGATTCCTAAGAGGAATGTTGGCAACCTAACCTATTGAAGTTTCAGCTCAGTGCATATTACACATTTCGTGTAAATAGTAAAAAAAACCACACACACAATAATTTCGTAACGAAAAAAAGATTTTGTTACCAACCCTTTAGCCAGACGGAATAATTTGATGTACTGTAGTTTTTAATATCAATACGATCTTTAAACCTAGTTAGGATTTTGCCTCCCTCCCAAAAAAGGGATAAAAGCAAGTTATGTGAATGATAACATTGATCACACGACAAAGGGGCTGGTTAACTACCCGAACACGCCCCCCCCCCCCCCTTCATGCACCAGACATGTTCCCGCCAAGTGCATCACCGCCATTGGTGCATGACTCTTTTACCGTATCAAGCGCCCATCTGCTTTAATAGCTCGAAACAGAAACTGACTTAACATATTTATTGATACCCGTTGTTTTTTTAACAAAATTGACTCCATCTCAATTAAAACAGAAAGTCACAATAATTTATTATGGACAGGTGATACTGTTTCACCCAATAACATTTACATACTCATACGGACATACATATCTGACGTCTATGATGTAGTCAAAAACAGAAACACAAAATGGAAACACAGAGGGCAAAAAATAGCAATATTGAAAGGAGTTACCTGAACCAAAACCGAGGTCCAGCTTCCATGCGAGCGCGGCCGTCAGCGCGATTACGACTGCCGCCAACAACACGAAGGTACGAAGCGAAGTTTTCATTTTGCTGAGATAAACGAACGAGACGACTTAGGCCAAGTTTGCGCAAGGACTATAGTTGACCAATGGTTAACTAACGTTTGCCCGAACTCTGTCTAGTCGACGGAGGTTGATTACGTTAATCGACTATTCGGAACCAGCCTACTGGCATTTGAAGCATGATAGCAAATAACCCATACCAGAAAAAAATTTGTGAGGATAAAAAACATATAAGTAACAATTTCACTTGTGATTTTATCACATTATTTGGCTGATATATGACTTTTTAATAAAATTTACCAATAAGGCGGCGATATTGGCCGCCATATTTGCCGCCATATTGGCTGCCATTTTCAATTCGAAGCATGATAGCAAGAAATAGATACCAGAAATGAATTTGCACGGATAAAAAACATATGGGCCTTTAACTAACAATTTTATTGATGCTTTTATCTCATTTTATGGCTAATATATGACCTTTTTATCGATTTTGTTTACCATTTTGGTGGCCATATTGGCCATCATCCTGGCCATCATCATGAATTTGAAGCATGATAGCGAAAGAGAGATACTTGAAAAGGAATTTGAGAGGGTCGAAATCATATTTTACCATTTTATTTATGATTTTATCATACTATTAGGCTGCAATGTGACCTTTTCCATTTGTTTTACCAATATTGCGGCCATATTGGCCACCAAAATGGCCGCCATCTTGAATTTTGAAGCATAATAGCACAAAAAAGGATATCAGCAATGATTTTTTGAGGCTCTAAAACATTTTATTTATGCTTTTATTAATCACATTATTTGGCTGATGTATGTCTTTTTTCCATTTTTTACCGATTTTGGCGGCCATATTGGCCGCCATCTTGGATATCTCCTTTGAATCAGATTTTTTAACTGTTAACATCCAAAAAAGTGTTTTAAGACGCTAAAAGGCACCCCAAAAATGGTGAAAGTTAGTTCGGGGGGGGGGGGGGTGCACGGGGGTCCCCCATACAACTCAACTATTATGCCAAACGCATCACGAACGGATGACAACTTACACGAACGTACACCCAAATTTCCAAAAACGTCGGGCACAGGTTAGCTCTATTTGCAACCGTGTGACAGTGCCATAAGGTGCAAGCTGTAAGCTTGAAGCCCGGTTCATACTTCACGCGAAAGCAAAAGCGAAGCGAAATTCCTGACGTCAACAATACGTTCGAAGCGAGTCCGCCATTGTTGACGACATGAATTTCGCTTCGCACTTGCTTTCGCGTGAAGTATGAACCGGGCTTTAGTCATGGAAATTATAGCAAAAATAATATTCCGCTCGAAATCATCTGAATGCAATACTGTATATTATTTTGCGTGGACGCTGTAAAAGGAGCCAACTTGGCAGTCACGACAACACAATGTACATGTACTAAGAGGTCAACCGCAAGTATTGCACCAACAGTAGGCCTACTGCAATAGCCTGTTGCCAAGGCCGTCGAGGCTTTATATTTTTTAACCGGCATTGTTACACGGAGCGGCGAATAATTCAACACCTAAAGTTAGAAAAGACCTTGTAGTGGCTTCGCCACTCGTTTGTAATGAAAAAAATCTGAGTGAATATATATGGTGCAGTACTCGCGGATCCTTTCAAAAAAATACTTCCGCAATATACTGCACGGCAACTGGCGGAAACCCACAATTCACACGGTTGCAATCGTGGTTTGCCTGCAGTGATTGGGGTCCATGGGTATTTTTTACACCCTCGGGTGTGCAAAACACCATGGACCATTTCACAACAGGCAACAATTATTGTATAATGTCCCCCAAGAATTGACTCTTTTTTATACCAATGTAACTTAAATAAATACATGTATTTTTCTACTGTGTAACACCATTTCACGTAAATTCAACAGTACATTACTGCGAGGAATAGGCGTAAAAACGCGTATCGCAAATACGTACATGCATATTTGAACATCACCGACGCCACGTCCTCTACCCCCATTTTCGAATTGTCTAGTTGTTTCCTAAATGCTGACAAGAAATTGCCGCCGTTGCGTATGTTTGTTTAAGGTATAGTGCTGTGGAATCCTGCTCACTGGGCCTTGTCCCGTCCCGCTGGCGGAATGCACCCGCCATGGCGCGACCGTTCCATCTAGTGCTTCTCCGGTGGCTGCCTTTCCATATACGATGGTCTCTGCCCGCTATTTATGTCAAACACATTTGGAGTATTTTTTCGAGTTATTTTGCTGAGAAACAACAAAAACAGGCTGTTTGAAGGATACGATACTCTTGGCACAAATCGAGTTTTTCCGGACATAAAATTACATTTTGTTTTCAATACTCCCTACGATTTGCCCTCTGCTCTCATCCGTACACGGTGGTTTATTACTCATGCAAGTTTTCCCCCGTACTGCCTTACCGTGGAACGCTTAGCTCGAATCGTTATAGCTATTGTCTGTATATTGAAAAACCCACGTGTCGTGGCAAAAAGGCCAGATTGCACATGACTTACCATTAATACAGGCACTCTAACTAATGTCATTTACAGGTATTTTAATAGAAATATAAATGGGCTATTGTTGACTACTCTTATAACTTATATTACACTCAAAAAGTTGGTCAAATGGGTTGGTATATGTGTAGCCCAATGATGGCAACATACCAACTGCATTCACTCGTGGGCAATTTCTTTCCAGTAGTTGGTCACGTTTTATTCAAATGAACCAACAATAATGTAACCTCACAACAATGTTGGGCAAAGAACATTGCCCATTGGTGTTTGGCCCAACATTTTCATTTACATTGTATTTCAACCGAAACGTCCACAGATTCCTTCTATTAAACTGCGTTTTTCTTTCTTTCCTGTTTTGTACATTCAATGCACTTGTATTCAGATGAAATCAACAACATATACTGCACATAACAATGCAAATCACAGAGAAACAAAGGGCAGTTAATTTTGTCTGATATAGCCAACAACAAAAAAAGCAAATTTATTTCCACCGGGTCACAATTATAAAATAACTTTCATTGGGCGTTTGCCCTTAAACATGAACGTAATATTTGTATTGAATAGTGAATCATTAGCTGATGCGGATCCAGGTTTTTTTTCATCGAGGTGGAGGGGCGGGTGTATCGAAGTGTTTTTCTAGGGGGTTGAGGTGCTAAATTCAACACAGTAGACATGCGTGAAGCAATGAATAGGCCTGGCGCGTAGTTTGTAATATGACTTTGTTTTAGTAAACTTCAAAGCATATAGGATCATTTTCTTGTCATGCACTTTGTTCGTTTACAATAATACCACTCAGATTCCAAAGAGGAATGTTGGCAACCTAACCTATTGAAGTTTCAGCTCAGTGCACATTACACGTTTCGTGTAAATAGTTAAAAAAAAAAAAACACACACACAATATTTTCGTAACGAAAAAAAGATTTTGTTTCCAACCCTTTAGCCAGACGGAATAATTTGATGTAGTTTTTAATATCAATACGATCTTTAAACCTAGTTACGATTTTGCCTCCCTCCCCCAAACAGGGATAAAAGCAAGTTATGTGAATGATGACATTGATCACACGACAAAGGGGCTGATTAACCACCCGAACACGCCCCCCCCCCTCCATGCACTAGACATGTTCCCGCCAAGTGCATCACCGCCATTGGTGCATGACTCTTTTACCGTATCAAGCGCCCATCTGCTTTAATAACTCGAAACAGAAACTGACTTAACAGATGTATTTATACCCGTTGTTTTTTAACAAAATTGATTCCATCTCAATTTAAAAAAGTCACAATTATGGACAGGTACGTGCTACTGTTTCACCCATTATCCAATAACATTTACATACTCATACGGACATACATATCTGACGTCTATGATGTAGTCAAAAACAGAAACACAAAATGGAAACACAGAGGGCAAAAAATAGCAATATTGAAAGGAGTTAACTGAACCAAAACCGAGGTCCAGCTTCCATGCGAGCCCGGCCGTCAGCGCGATTACGACTGCCGCCAACAACACGAAGGTACGAAAATGAGTTTTCATTTTGCAGAGATTAACGAACGAGACGACTTAGGCCAAGTTCGCGCAAGGACTACAGTTGACCAATGGTTAACTAACGTTTGCCCGAACTCTGTCTAGTCGACGGTGGTTGACTACGCTGGTCGACTATTTGGAACCAGCCTACTGGGGTTGGTTGCATCGCTGGTAACCAATAGCCGTGCGCATTCATTACGCTAGCAGAGAGCCAGGATCCTAGGTCGACGCTCGAAGAACGGCATGCACGTATTCAAACTGTCTGTGTTGATATAGCAGTACATGTATATAAAAAAATAATATGGTTCGGTGACGATACACGCCACCTATTTAAGCACAGTGGCAACGCCGATTTTCGGCAATGGAGCTAATCCATTGTTAGAACAAGGTCATTCCTCCAATGGAATACAATGGCGTGGCCAGAGGTTGGAAAGGTTATGGTTTATAGTTTATTTTTTCATATGATATCCCATACACACATAATTAACAATAATATGTATAAAGAGTGACAGAAATGATACGAGCGATCCAGGTAAAAAGCATAATGCCTGTACAAGACCTGGAACCCCTAAGATAAAACCAAGTTGCGACCGAAATTATTTTGTTGGGGGGGGGGGGGGAGTTGACTTGTTCCTTTTATTCAAAACACAAAATCTGACACTTAAAAATATGTTTCAGTCTTGACTCAAATCATTCAAAGCGCATTCACTTGTATTTAAATGCCTGTGTGTAACATTCAATGCTCAATTAGCTCAAAAGCTTCAAACGGCATTCAAATGGATAGCAATAAAAACATGTTTCTTTTCTAAAACATGCATCATTTCTGATGGCATAGATCAGTTTCAGTTGTACCTTAAGCGCGAAGTCATAGTGGTGTAAATTTAATGAGTTGGGGGGGGGGCAAAATGTCCCTGCCCCCTCTAAAACTGAGAAATCGAGAATATGTTGAGAAATACAGGATTTTTTTTGGGAAAAATATGTTTTGCCCC